AAAGCCTTCCTTGGTGGTGGCTTCAGCAACAAAGGGTATCACATCTTGAGATGGGAGAAGCAGGGAGAGACTCTTACTTTCTCTCCTTTTAAAGCCCTCAGAACCACACCCCTGAGCACCATTATTAATCCATTCACTAGAGCATGGTCCTACAGTCCATTCACCCCTTCAAGACCCCAGTTTTGAATTACCATAATAGGATTTCCCACCATCTTTACACTGTGTCACAGTGGGGTCTAAGTTTTTGGGGGACATCAATCCATAGCAGTAACATTCACATTGTCATTTCTTTTTTAATTTGTGTTATTTAGATGTGTAATTAAAAAAAAAATTCCAACACATCTTGGGGTTTAAATTATATTTTTATTAAAATTAAAAATGTAATGGCATGTGATAACAATGCAATCTGAATGATACTAATTCTTGATATTTGTAGAGCCTTGCTTTATGACATGTTCTGTTTTGTGAATACTCACTCCCTGTGTGTGGATAGAAAGAGTAGCCTATTCATAAGGAGCATGCAGTTTTATATATGCCCATTAGTCAGGTTTGATAATTACATTGTTCATATCTTCTATATCTTTATAATTTTTTATGCTTAATTGATCAATTATTGAGCTGTCTCTAACAATTTTTATTCATATGTTTTAAGGCTACTTTATTAGATTCATCCATATTTTGAGTTAGTATATGTTCTTGTTATTATAAAGTGATCCTATTTTACCCTACTTGAAATCTATTTTGTTTGATATTAATATGTATATACCTTTAATATATTGGTAAGCATTTGCCTGGTTTGTCTTTTTTTTCATTCTTTTAATTTCACCTTTCTAATATTAGTGTTGTAAATGTGTCTTTTTTCTAAAGAGCATATTTCTAGATTTTGTTTTTAAAATCTAATCTGACAACCTTCAGATTAAGTGATTCTTCAGTGAGAAAAAATTGATCCATTTATATTTACTGTATTTCTTGTATATTTTTATTGACTTGCATCATTTCAATTTGAGTTTTCTACTTTCTCTGCCTTTTCTGTGCTTTCTTTCCCCTCTTTTTCTGTCTTGTATTAGATTAGTCATATCTTCTTTACTCTTTCCCCTTCTCTACTGATCTGAAAGTTAGATACCCAATTTCTAATTTACTTCTATTTATTTAGTGCTTATTATAATATTTTTAACATGCATACTTGATTTAACAAAATCTAAAATCAGTATTTCTACTTCCCTGCCAAAAATACAAAGTTGTTTTAACATTTTAATTCTAATTTTCCTTCCCCTATCGTCCATATTATTGTAAAGTAGAATTTGGTTCACCTTGTTTTGTACTGCCAATACTTAATACAAATATAATTGTCATGTGGATGGAATTCTTGTTTAGATCTACACATGCAATTACTGATTATTTGTCTGCCTTTCTTCTTGGATTTCACAACTAAACTTATACCTTAAATCTTATTCTAACCTAACTACATTGCTGTCTTCAAAGAGAGCCAGTTGGTGGTATTTTTTCATTTTTTTAAATCTAGAAAATGTCTTTTCTTGTCTTAATTTTGGTGTGATAGTTTAGCTGAACTAAGACCTTTTTGGTGGAGAGTTATTTTTGCCTTGCACACAAAAGATTAGTCCATTTTCTTCTGGGGTTTATTATTGCAGTTGAAAATTCTACTTTTTATATAATAATTATTTCTTTATAGATGATCCAACTTCTGTTTATGGAGGCTTTTAAGATCTTCTTGTCTTTGCTATTACAGTCTCACTCATGTTTAATTTTATTTATCATGTTCAAGATTCATTGTGCTTCCTGTATCTGAACATTCATGTTTTCCAAATCTGGAAAATACTGTCATTATATCTTGACTATTGCCTTTCTCCCATTCTTTCCATTCTCTCCATATCTGTTACTCATCGTCTTACTAGCCTCATTTATGGTGAATTTCTTTCTCATGTGTCTTGTGTTATTGGATTGTTAGATTGTCTTACACAGGGCTTCATCTGTGGGGCTCATGTGGGGCCTATATTGAGTGTGTTTTGCTTCAAAGAAATTTCACATTTGCATTTGCCAGGATTTCTACCAACCAGAGACACATTTTTATATCAATTACTCCCCTGTTTAAAATTCTGTATTCGTTGAGCTTTGTTTTGCTGTTAGTATAAAGACCAAAGACCCCAAATAACCTATAAAGAACAGCATGGTCTGGGTGCTACCTACTTCTTGAGCCTCACCTCCCAGCTTCCTGTCACTCACTTTACTCCAGCCATGCTGACTCTGTTTCTGGAATGGAACAAACTGTCTCCCATCACAAGGCCTTTCTTCATGCTGTTCCTTTTGCCCAGGATCCTCTCCCTCCCCTCTCATTTTAGCTAACTTCTTTGTGTTCTAAAATCTCAGTTCAATAATCACTTTCTTTTTTTTAATTGCTGTTTAATTTTATTAATTGTTTTACATTCTAGGATGTTGTTGTGTAGTGGTTGGGAGGGAGGGGGAGAGGGGAAAGGGGAAGGAAATGTGATGGAAGAAGGAGGAAGGAGGACGGGCAGGATTGAAGCCTGTGGCATGCCACTCATTCCTACAGGGGACACCAAGGGGCTTCCAGCGGTGGCTTAGTCATTGCTGGGCTGGGTGCAGATGTCAGTGGGGTGTGGCAAAAGCCCTTGTCCCCCACCACTCCAGCTCAGGAACTCAGGGCCCTTGTTGTTGTGGCTTGGTGGTCATTTCTGGGTTGGTTGTATGTGTTGGGGGGGCATGGCTGAGGACCTCGGCCCCCCATCACCCTGGCTTGGGAGAGCCCAAGGCACTTCCTATGGCAGCTTGGTGGTCATTGCTGGGCTGACTGTGCACATTGGGGGGGCATGGCTGAGGCCCACAGCCCCCCAGTGCCCTGGCTTGGGAGAGCCCGGGGCGCTTCCTGTGGCAGTTTGGTGGTTGTTGCTGGGGTGGTTGCACATGTTATGGAGGTGTGGCTGTGGCCTTTGTTTCCCCCCTCGGAACTGGTTGCAGGTGTCAGGGGACATTGCTGAGGCCTCTGGCCCTCCCCCTTTTCTGGCTTGGTAGCCCAGGGGACTTCTGGTCCTTCTAGGTGTTATAGGCATTCTTTGGTAAATGAGACCTTTACTAGTTAATATCAAACTTTGTCTCTGGTTGTGGGTACTTCGTTTTTCCTTTCAGTTCTGTGTTGGATTATTTGCTGTTCCCACCACTTAAACTCTGCACTGGAACTAATTGTTGTCGTTTGCTTACTACTAAAATGGGGGAACTTCCTGTGGGAAACAGTACTTGAGCTCTGTGGTTGAGCTGAATTACTGCTTTGCTGCTGATTCCCTGGGGAAGGCTTTTTGTGAAGCTCGGGTTTTTTTTTTTTTTTTAAGATGACCAGTAAGGGGATCTTAACCCTTGACTTGGCGTTGTTAGCACCACGCTCTCCCAAGTGAGCTAACTGGCCATCCCTGTATAGGGATCCAAACCTGCGGCCTTGGTGTTATCAGCGCCACACTCTCCCAAGTGAGCCACAGGCCAGCCCCAAGTGCAGCTCAGGTTTTAATGGTTGACTTTATAGGTACTTCCAGGTCTAGTGAAATCTGGTGCACCTGGGTTGTGTAGAAACTCTGGTCTGGGCCTGAGTCTTTTCATCAAACTGAACCCCATGCAGTTCTGTATTCCTCACCAGTCTCCTCTGAGTGGTCCTTTGCTGATTGGGGTGCAGATCAGCTGTACTTGCTGTGCCCAGTGTTCTCCTGCTGGGTCTGTCTCCCTGACTGCCTGACTGCAATCACTTCCCATGGGACAGGCCATTTGCTGGTCCGTTGTAATGACTCACCGGCCTCTGAGTGGCTCCTTATTTTCAGTTGTTGTGGCTCCTCAGTCCTATGCGGGTCCATGGGAACCCTAATATTGGTATTGCTGGCCTGGAGGCCATGAAGGCCCACTTCTCCCCTGCTGCCTCCAAGCAACTTGATCTGAAGGGCACAACTGTGGCTTTTGCCAGTACCTGCTCCTTGCACTCAGCAGCTACAGCCTGAAAGCAGCTGGGGCTTCAAATGGTCAGAATAGTTTTTTCTTTCTCTCATCATGGCTTTTCCCACCTTCATGCACTCTGTAGGTCTCTCCTCCTCTTCCCTTGAGTTCTAGCAGCCCCAGCTTGGCTGTCATTGCTTTTTTATAGTTGTAAATTGGTTGATTTGTGGGAGAGAGTGACGCTGGGGACCGTCTATTCTGCCATCTTGACCAGAAGTCTCCCACTCATCACTTTTTAAAGAAAGACTTCCCTGACCTATCAACTGGCCCTGATCAGAAAAACAAAATCTTTCTACCATAGGTATTGAGAGCATCGTGTACCTTTCATTTATGGCGTCAATTATGATTTATAACTGTGCATATATTTATTAGTGAGATCATTTGGTAAATATTTTTCTTTATCACTATGCTGTAATCCCTGAGAGACCAGAGACCATTCCTATTTTGCTTACCATAGTATTGCTAATTCCTAGGACAGGGTCTAGCATCTAACAGAAGCTATTTAAAAGTTTGCTGAATGAGTGAGTGATTAAGTGAATAAACAAATCAATTAACAAAGAATTAATGTCACTGGGAATCATAGCTATCCTCTTAAGCATTGCTACTTTGTTTGTTCTACTGGGGCTGGTGGAGACCCTGGGTTTGCTGAAATTAAAAGAGCTTAAAAGCAGCATAAAAGCCTTTTCCACCTCCCTGTCCTTTAGAGCATCCCTAGGTTGGAGAAGAGGGAGACTCAGGCTTTCCTACTCCAGCCCGAAGGAGCAATGAATTTCACAGCAGTGCTTCCCACAGAAGCCCACACTGTTTTTAGAACAACAAAACTGAGAGAGTTATGATGTAAGTTATCAAAGTTATTCTAAATTCAGACTTGATAACCTCATATATCTGTCCTTTCCTTTAGGAAAAATATCAGGGCTTAGTGTAAGTTTCACCACTTTCTTCTCCTCGCAACTGAGCTTTGTGCTCCTCCTCTCTCATCTGCTTCTAGCAACATGCCCTCCATGTTTGAGCGTATTACTAAGAAGATAGTCAAAGAGCTTGGAGACAAGGACATGAGTCCTGTCAAATCCCTGCTGAGTGCCACCAAATTCCGTGAGTTTGATATATTACGCAGGAAGAAATCTCTCTCATTGTTTTGGGAACAACCTGACATTCCAGCTGAATTCTCCCTCAAGGACATCCTGGAGTCAAGTCCTTCAGTCCCAGGTATGGTCAGCCAGGGGCTAAGGAGGAGGGAGGGAAAAACAAGGTGCTCAGATACCCGTGGCACAGCATCCAAGAATCCCTGGGGCACCTGGAAGGTAGATCTCAGGATCCACCTTGCTTTTAGGCAAGGGGCAGGAACTAACATTATTTGAGAATCTACTAATTATCTGAACCCCCAAATTTACTAGGTCACATTGTGCTTACATCAGTCTCTCGAGGTGGAGATATTGCCATTTGACATGAGTAAAGTGAAGTTCATAATAATTCAGTCCCAGTTGCACACCTGGGAACTGGTAGAACTAGGATCCAAACCTAGGTCTATCTGCCAGTGAGGTGCCTCCTAGGGCTGGGTGCTGTGCCTGCTGCAGAGGACACACTGTGCCTGGAAAGACGATCCTGAAGGTCTCCTGGATACTGTTCAAGTGATGCTCCCATTTCTCAGGGTTATGATTTTACTTCTGTCATGCAATGCCTGGGTGGATTCAAACATTTGCCCTTTGTAGTAATTTTACTTTTCAAACATTAATTGATTAGTTACCTTCTTGACTGAGAGATTTAAATGAGTGGGGTGGTTGGGATAAATTGGCCTTGTTTTTTCCATTTCCCACACCATCTGTTGCTGAGTGAATTATTGGCTAATCCTATGGTCACATTTTCTCTCCACAGATACTGTTGTGACAGGACCATTTTCCTTTGGTGTCACGATGGTCCAGAAGCAGAAGGCTGGTGTGGATGTGAAAGCTGTTGTGCAACTGAGTGCATCTAGGGTGGCTAGTCAGTTCTGTGAATCTTTTCTTGAGATTCAGACTGTTAGAATCCCACCCCAAACCCTAGAGGACCTTCAACAGAGGTGAGGCCAGGGGAGAGGAAGGAGACGGATGGGTCATCAGGGGTTCTCTCATTGTAGGCAAAGAGGCATCTAGCAGGCTGTGTTGCTGGGATCGAAATAAAAGATGATGACATCCCAGATTTTGCTACTCTTCTCGGGCATTTATTTCATTCTTCATTCAAGTAATATTTATTAGTCACCTAATAAATACTTACCAGAGCAGTAATTATGTTACTGTGCCATTATGTGCTGGGGATAGAATAACAACAACACAGATAAAAATTCCTGTCCTAAACCAGCTTATATTTAGTGGAGACAGGGAATGGGCAGGAAGTGAGGAAATAAGCAATAAAAAATAAATTAACACTATTAATTTAAATGAGACAAAGATGCTAAAACTCTTTGTTTAAATAATGTATATGGCAGTATCTTGGGATTTATATTTTTAGTATTTTTTTCCACTCAGATCTATTTAGGTGTAATTGAAAAATAAAATTATATAAGTTCAATGTATAGAATGTGATGTTTTTATATACATACGTATTGTGAAAAGATGACCACAGTCAAGTCTGTTAACACATCTATAACTTCATCTAGTAACATTTTCTTTTTGATGATAACATTTAATATCTATTCTGTTAGCAAACTTCAAGTACACAATACACCTTTGTTAACCATAGTCACCATACTATACATTAGATCTCTAGAACTTATTTATCTGTAATGGAATCTTTGTACCTTTGACTAGCATGTCACCATTTGCTGCACTCCCAGCCCCTTGAAACTATCATTTTGCTCTCTGTTTCTGAGTTTGACTTTTTTAGATTCCGGATATGTGAGTATTTGTCTTTCTCTGTCTGACTTACTTTACTTAGCTCTCAAGTTTTATCTGTGCTGTCACAAATGGCAGGATTCCCTTTTATTTATTTATTTTTTACTTTTGCAAAACTTAAAAAAATTTATTTATTTGTTTTAATTGACACACTGTAATTGTACACACTTATAGGGTACAATCTGAAGTTTGATACATGTATATGTTGCACAATGATCAGGCCATGGTAGTTAATATATTCATCACTTCATGCATTTGTCATTTCTTTGTGGCAAAAACAAAAGCCTCTCCTCTATCTATCATGTAATATACAAAACTTAACTGTTACCCATAGTCACCCTACTGTGCAATAGAACACCAAAACTTATTCCTCCTGTCTAATTATAATTTTGCATCCATTGTCCAACCTCTCCCTATTTTCTCTTCCCCCTTCTCTCCCCAGTCTCTGGTAACCACTGTTCAATTCTCTGTCTCTATAATACCACCTTTAAAAAAAAACATTCCACATATGATTAAGATCAAGTGGTATTTGTCTTTCTGTTCTTTGCTTACTTCACTTAACATAATGTCTTCTAAGTCCATCCATGTTGCTGCAAATGACAGGATTTCATTCCTTTTTTATGGCTGAATAATATTCTATTGCATATCTATACCACAATTCTTTTCCCCATTCATCTGTCAGCTGGCATGTAGGTTGTTTCCATGTCTTGGTTATTGTGAATAATGCTGCAATGAACATGGAAATGCATAGATCTCTTTGAGCTACTAATTTTGTTTCCATTGTATGTGTATTCAGAAGTGGGATTGCTATATAATGCGATGGCTTTATTTTTAATTGTTTGAGAAACCAACATACTGTTTTCCATAATGGCTATAGCAATTATATTCCCACCAACAACGTACAATGTTCCTTTTAATCCACATCCCAGGCAACACTTATCTGTTCTCTTTTTTATAATTGCCTTCTTAACCAGTGCAGGGTGGTTTTGATTTGCATTTCCCTGATGAGTGATGTTGAACCAATTTTCTTGTGCTGTTGCCCATTCATATGTCTTCTGTGGGGAAATGTCTATTCAGGTCCTTTGCCCATTTTTAATCAGATTATTTACTTATTAATTTTGCTATTGAATTGTATGAGTTCCCTATGTATTTTGGATATTAACCCTTTATCAGATATATGGTTTGCAAATACTTTCTCCTATTCTGTATGTTGCCTTTTCACTTTGTTGATTGTTTTCTTTGATATGCGAAAGCTTTTTAGTTTGATGTAGTCCCACTTATTTTTGCTTTTGTTCCTCATGTTTTTGGTGTCATATCCAAAAAATTGTTTCTAAGACCAACATCAAGACATTTTCCCCTGTGTTTTTTTCTAGGAGCTTTAAGATTTCAGATCTTACATTTTAGTCTTTAATTCATTTTGTGTTAATTTTTGTGTATGGTGTAAGATAGGGTACAATTTTGCACATGAATAACTAGTTTTCCCACCACCACTTTTTGGAAGAGATTATCCTTTTTTTCCATTCTATATTCAAATATTAGTTGACTTTATATGTATGGGTTTATTTCTGGGCTGTCTATTTGATTCCATTGTTCTGTCTGTTTGTATGCCAGTACTATAACGTTTTGAATACTATAACTTTGTAATATAGTTTGAAATGAGGAAGTGTGATGTCTCCAGCTTTACTCTTCTTTCTTGAGACTGCCTTGGCTCTTCAGGGTCTTTTTTGGTATCATATATATTTTAGGATTATTTTTTCTATTTCTGTAAAGAATGCCATTGGAATTTTGATAGGAATTGTATTGAATCTATAGATTGCTTTGGGTACTATGACATTTTAATAATATCAATATTTTTAATCCATAAACACAGGTAACTTTTCTATTTATTTTGTCTTCAATTTCTTTTATTAATTTCATATAGTTTTCAATGTACAAATCTTTCATCTCCTTGATTAAATTCATTCCAAAGTATTTTATTATTTTTGATGCTATTATTTGTTGAAGGTTTTTATTAAAAAAGTGTTGAATCTTGTCAAATGCTTTTTCTACCTCTATTGAGATGATCATATGGTTTTAGTCCTTTGTCCTGTTAATGTGATATATCACATTTATGATTTGCTTATGTTGAACAATTCTTGTATCTTGAGGACAGATCCCACTTAATCATGGTGTCTTATCCTTCTAATGTGCTGCTGAATTCAGTTTGCTAGTATTTTGTTGAGGATTTTTCATCTATGCTCATTAGGTATATTGACCTGTAATTTCCTTTTCCTGTAGTGTCCTTATCTGGCTTTGGTATCAGAGCAATAATGGTTTTGGGCAATGAATTTGAATTGTTCCCTCTTCTTTAATTATTGAGTCTTTGAGCAGAATGGGTAAAATTCAACAGTGAAGGAATCTGGTCTCTGGCTTTTTTTGTCCAGTGGTTTGTGATTACTGATTCAAACTCCTTACTTGTTAGTGGTATGTTCATATTTTCTGTTTCTCCATGATTTGGAGTTGATAGGTTGTATTTTTCTAGGAATTTGTCCATTTTCTCTTAGGTTATCCAGTTTGCTGGTATATAGTTGTTCATAATAGTCTCTTGTGATCTGTTTTACTTCTATAGCATCATTTGTAATGTTTCCTTTTTCAATTATAGTTTTCTTTACTTGAGTTGTCTATTTCTTTCTTGGTTTGTCCAGCTAAGAGTCTGTCAATTTTGTTTATCTTTTCAAAAAAAAACATCTCTTAGTTTTATTGATCTTTTCTGTTGTTTTTCTGTTTCATTTATTTATGCTGTAATCTTTATTATTTCCTTCCTTTTTGTTTATTTGGGCTTAATTTGTACTTTTTTTGTGGTGTACATTTAGGTTGTTGATTTGAATTCATTCTGTTTTCTTAATGTAGGCAATTATAGCTATAAACTTTTGTCTTAGAACTGTTCTTGCTCTATCTCATATGTTTTGGTATGTTGTGTTTCCATTTTTGTTTGTCTCAAGATATTTACCTTTACTGGTGAGTTTATTCATGTTTTTTATGTTGTTAATTAACATCCTTTCATTTCAGCTCAAAGAACTTTTGACTTTCTTTTTGATTTCTTCTTTGACCCACTTGTTGTTCAGTAATGTGTTGTTTAATTTCCATGTATTTGTGAATTTCTGAAATTCTTCCTATTATTTTTTAGTTTCACATAACTATGGTTTGAAATATACTTAATATGATTCCAATCATTTTAAATTTGTTAATACTTGTTTTCTGGCATAACATGATTTATCTGGGAGAATGTTTCACGTGCACTTGAGAAGACTTTGTGTTCTGCTTCTGTTCAGTGAAATGTTCTGTATATGTCTATTAGGTCCATTTAGGCTATCGTGTTGTTCAGTGTCTTCTTATTAATTTTCTTTATGGCTGATCTAGCCGTTGTTAAGAGTGACATTAAAGTTCCCTACTATTATTGTATTGCTGTTTATTTCTCCTTTTAATTATATTAGTATTTGCTTTATATATTTTTATATATATTATTATATCCAGTGCTTGGATGTTTGGTGCATAAATATTTATAATTGTTTTGTCTTCTTAATTACTGACTCCTTTATTTTTATGCAATGACCTTCTCTTGTCTTGTGACTGTTTTTGACTTTATGTCTATTTTATCTGATATATGTATGGCCACCTCTGCTCTCTTTTGGGTTATCATTTGCATTAGACTGTCCTTTTCTATCCCTCCACTTTCAGCCTATGTGTGTCCTTAAAGCTAAAGAGAGTGTCACTTAGGTAGCAAATCATTGCATCTTGTTTTGTTATTTATTCTTCCACTGTATGTCTTTAGTTTGGAAAATTTAATCCATTTACATTTATTGTAATTATTGGTAAGTAAGGACTTACTAAGGCTATTTTGTAAATGGTCTTAGTACTGTTTTGTAGTTCTTTTCTTCCTTTCTTTCTGTCTTGCTGTCTTCCTCTATGATTTGGTGAGTTTTTGAGGCAGTATGCTTGATTTCTCTCTTAATCTTTTGTGTGCCCACTACAGGTTTTCTTTTGTAGTTACCATGAGACTTACATAAAGTATCTTATTGTTACAACATGCTGTTTTATTCTGATCATAATTTAACTTCAATTGCACAGAAAGCTGTATACTTTTACTTCTCCCCTTTTATTTTACCTTATTGATGTTACAGTTGACATGTTTTTATACTGTACATCCAAT